AGGGGAGCTGGTCTCCAGAAAGACGAAAATAGGACAGAGCATTGGGACTTTCAACTCTAAAAGCTGCGGCAGGAAGATCACAAGCTCAAGACTCAGGGCTAACCCAGGCAACTATTTTTTGTTTTGTTTTGAGACAATCTCACTTTATAGCCTTGGCTGACCTAGAACTTGCTATACAGACTGGGCTGGCCTTGAACTCACAGAGATCTACCCGCCTCTGCCTCCTGAGTATTGGGCTGGAGAGATGGCTCAGCATTTAAGAGCACTGGCTGATCTTCCAGAGGACCTGAGTTCAGTTCCCTACACAGGGTGACTAACAATTATCCCTAACTCCAGTTCCAGGGACTCTGACACCCTCTTCTGTCCTCTCTGGGCATTGCATGACATGGGTGCCCATACAAGCAGCCAAAACACTCAAACACAGAAAATTTTTTTTTCTTAAGACTAAGTCCTATGAGCTGCTCAAGCAAGTTATCTGTATGAGAGGAGAGAAGCAGGCTGCAGGGACTGACTGACAGCCAACTGGCCAGAAGCCCAGGTCAAGGAACCTGGACCTGGGATTGGATCACCATCTAAAGTGGGGGATGGTCTGGGGGCACTGAGCCCTCAACTATAGGGACCTGCCTGGTGCTATCTCTGGGTAGATAAATGTCCTCAGGGCTGGACTGAATTGGAAGGCGCTGGGTGGGTGTCCCCTGTGGACACTGGGTGACTGGTTGGTGTGTGTGTGTAAATGCCACCACACATCTGGCAAGAGACGCTTAGCATGCAGAAATGGAGCTTATCATCCCTGCATCCGTGCATCCCTGCATGGGGCCACAGACACAGGAAACCTGGACTTGGCTCACACTCCCGCCCCAGCCCTGCGATCTTGGTGAGTCCCTGCACAGTCTTCAGTTACCTGGAGCCATCCAGGCAGGGCTCCTCCCACACCAGGAGTAGGAGGCTGCTCCAGGGCAGGGCATGCCAGGAATATTGCCATCCGGTCACCAAGTGCCCCAACTGCCTTAAGTCCCAGCTCTGCAATTAGCTGTGTGACTTGGGCAAGTTATTCAGCCCCTCTGTGCTGCATGCTAGCACAGTAGAGTGCCCATGCTATAAGTGGAGTTATGATCGCTCATACCTCACCAGTATGGATTGGCACTGTATAAAGCGCTTAAAGTCTGGCCCACAGTAATGGCAGTGTAAATACCAACAATGTTTTGGGGGTATTTTTGCTGTTTTTATTCTTTGACTTTTGGGGTTTTTTGTTGTTTTTGTTTTGTTTTGTTTTTTTGAGACAGGGTCTCCCTGTAGCCCCAGCTGGCCTGGAACTATGTAGATCAGGCTGGTCTTGAACTCACAGAGATCTACCTGCCTCTGCCTCCCAAGTGCTGGGATTACAGGCATGCGCCAGCACATCCGGCTTTGTTTGTTTTTAATATTTTGTTATTTTTATTTTATGTGTATTTGTGTATTGCCTGCATGTAGGTAAGTGCACCCGTGTCATGCAATGCCCGAGGAAGTCAGAAGAGGCTGTCGGATTCCCTGGAACTGGAGTTACGGACAGTTGTTAGCTGCCATGTGGGTGCTGGGATTCGAACCTGGGTCTTCTGCAAGAACAACTAGTGTTCTTATCGGCTGAACCATCTCTCCAGCCCCTATTTAACATTTTTAAACACTGGTTTTTTTTTTTTATTTATGTGTATGTGTCTGTGGGGGGTCCCCAGAGGCCAGAAGATGGCATTAGACCCCCGAAGCTAGGTTTACAGGCGGTTGTGAGTTGCCTGACACAAGTGCTAGGAATCGAATTTGGGTTCTCCACAAGAGCAGTAAACACTCTTAATCACTGAGCCATCACCTCCAGCCCAGTTTTGATTTTTTTTTTTTTTTTTTTTTTTTTTTTTTTTTTTTTTTGGTCTTTTGAGACAGGGTCTCCCTGCAGCCCCAGCTGGCCTGGAACTATGTAGACCAGGGTGGCCTTGAACTCACAGATATCCTGCCTCTGCCTCTGCCTCCCGAGTGTTGGGATTAAAGGCGTGCGCCACCACGCCTGGCTAAAGGTTTATTTTTATTTGAAGTGGATGAGTGTTTTGCCTGTATATATGTAATGCACCTGTGTCATGCAATGCCTACGGAAGAGGGTGTCTGATTCCCTAGAACTGGAATTACTGACAGTTGTCAGCCGCCCGGGTGTGGAGGAGGGGAGCCGGGGTTGAGTGGCCCTACCCAACAAGGGGAGGGGGCCCTAGCTAGGCCAGGAGGTCTGCAGCCCAACCTCTCAAGTCGCCCCATTGCAGGCAGTCATCCTTGGTCTTCTTCTGGCACCTGGTGGTCAATTCTCACATTGCACATCTGAGCTACTGCTCAAAGCCGGACTTCCTGCCCCTGGCTGCACTGGGTTGGAACACTTACCCACTGTATCTGTGGACCTAAAACTCTTATACAGTGGAGACTGGAAGGTGGCAACTTGTGGGGCACACAGCTTGAGGGAGCTGTCCTCTCCCTCCATTTCTTCTTTCTCCTCTCTCTCTTCCCGGGGCAAGGCGTCCTTGAGAGGAAACTGAGACACACCAGTCTCTGAGCAGGTGAGGCGGATGAAGACCCCTAGGCCCATGCCCTTGCCCCCAAATAAAACAGGAAACAAGAAGGGGCAGTTTCCAACCATCACAAACCTCAGATCCCCGGATCCCACCCAGATGCCCCCATTCCACAGACCTTGGCGATGACTGACTTCTGGAGCTGTTTGTACAAGCCAAGGAGGTAGTTCCAGGGCGTGGACCCCACCTTGCAAGAGGTTATCCTGAGGTCTCCTGCAAAGGGGTGGCAGTCACTGAGTCTGGCAGCAGGGACAACTGATGCCAGTCTCGGGGGGGGGGTTAGAGTTACCCTGTGTTGTGGTTTTAATGGGTTTTTTTTTAATTACATTTTTATTTATTCTGTATGTTCTAGGGGTGAGGCACATGCCATAGCATGTGTGTGGAGGTCAGAGGATAACTCACAGGAGTTGGTTCTCTCTCTTCTTCCACTATGTGGCTTCTGGGAATGAAACTCAGGTTATCAAGCTTGGTGGCAAGCACCTTTACCTGCTGATCCGTCTCGCCCACTTGGCTGCTGGTTTTATTGCTTTTTGTGGTTTTGGTTTAGGTGGTCATGTAGTCCAGCCTGGCCTCAAACTTTGCTGTGTAGCAGAGGATGGCCTTGACCTCCTGAGCTTCCTGGGTCAGCCTCCTGGCTTTCCAGGGGTACACCACCATGCAGTGACCTCATTCTCTACCCCAGGCTCACCTACAACTCACTGTTGTAGCCCAGGCTGACCCTGAACTCATGGCATCCTCCTGCCTTTTCCCTTAGGTGATAGGACGCAGATGTTGATTCACTATACCCAGCTTTGCCCTGTGTTTACCAAAAGCCTGTGCGCCAAGCTCAGTTCTAGACCCTGACAAAGAACATTTCAGTTGATCCTTGAAGCACCTCCCTGCCCCCTGAGACAGGTGCTATTAATTCCCATTTTATAGATGAGGACACCAGGGCAGGGCAGTCCAGCAACAGGCCCTTACCACATAGCTCAACTCGGATTATATCCTGTGTCCTGTTGGGCTCCCCGACCCTAAGAAGTCCCAAAGAATTTACCAATCTCAATTAAGCAGTGCCCCTCTTCCTCCTTGATGAAGGCCCCAGCACTGAGTGCCAGTGGACCTGGAACCCACTGTAGGCATCCTTGCTCCACCTCCAGGGCCTGGGCCAAGTGGTCTCTAATCCCAAAGCACAGACAGGTGGGGGAGGCAGAGGACACCAGAGACATGGCACACACCACCCACCTCCAGTGTCTCCCACAGGCCTGAGTGGCCCTCCCTCCTGCCTCTCCCAGACCCCTGCTCTGCTCCCTGGGGTCTCTATCGCAGAGGGGTTACCCTACCACTGTTGAGGGTATAGGAAGAGAACTGGGTCCCCACCACACAGGGAGTGGATGCTAAGGCCAATGGGAGATGGAGCCAGGAGGGGGCCAGTGGGAAGGCAGGAGGGAGAGGGCTCTGTGAAAGGAGCTGAAAACAGAAGTTTTGACACATCTGTCCAGCAGCCGGCACACCCCAGGCCATCTCTGTTATTATCTTTATTTTGCTGTCCTGGGGACTGAACCCAGGACCTGGAGCATGCTAGGCAGTTTTCTACCCTTAAGCCAAACTCCAACTCTCCCTTTTCAGTGCTCCATCCACGGCCCAGCCACTTGTGAGAGGAATCCATCTGCCTCCCCCTGCACATCCCCCATCAGAAGACTCCCTCCTTTCCTTGATTCCATCCCTAGATTGTGACTTTCATTGTTCAGGAACCCCTGCCCCAGCCCTTCATCTACTGCCTTCTAACCATACCCTGTATCCTCTCTTCCTCCCTGAGTTCGCCCCCTCCACCAGCCCTAGCCCCCTACCTATCTGAGGCCCCTGATGCCCCAGAGGCCTCCCCTGCTCGTTCCTCCTCCTCTTCCTTCTTCTCCTTCTTGAACAGATGGCCCAGAACCTCCCGGCTTCCTCTGGTGGGGACTGATGTTACTACCTCTCTACCCTGGGCTCTGAGCTTCAGGGCCTCATTAGGGGTGAGGGTCTGACATCCTATGTCCCTCACGCCCAGCCCAAGAGCATCATGCACCCACAGGTTTGAGGAGGCCACAGAGAAGACTGTAGGCACCATGGTGCATAGCTGTGGCTCCCTCCTCCTGCGACCTCCCCTGCGGACCATTCTTGGGGAGACAGCATCGTGCTCCTGTGATGAGCTGGGCCGGCTCCAAGCCAAGGCCTTGTCAGACCTCTTAGAGCTGCTCTTGCCCCCCACTAGGCTACGGAGAAAGTGAAACATGGAGGAGCAGCCCAAAATTCGTGACCGTGACAGAAGGGTCCAAGCCCGGGTCTCCATCCTGACTAGGACCCTGACTCAGGGAGAAGTCATTGAAACCAGCCAGGGCCAACTGCTAGTAGACACCTCCAGTTGGAAATTTCCAGAAGTTCTAGAAGACAAAGGAGGGGGGGAGTAACTGGAGGCAGTTGGGAGGGGGTGCTGATGAAGGAGGGGAAGGGGCAGGGAGCCAGCCCAGCTGGCATGGGGGCAGGTAGAGGGCTGAGGGAAAGCACAGGCGCCCAGGAGGCCAGGGGAAGTCAGGGGGACACAGACCCTGAGAACAGGGCTCTGCACTTGCATGTGTGTGCGTGTGCACACACACACACACACACACACACACGTGTCTGGAGTTTATTCTGTACCTAAGAACCATCCTGAAGCCAAGCACTCAGGGTGGCAGCACAATCCTTTTTTTTTTTTTTTTAATATAGGGTCTTGTTAGGGTCAGTCTGCGTTAGGATTACAGACCTGTATCACCATACTGGGGTCCATCATGGGTCTTGCTGTTTGTGTTTTTTGTCTTTTACTAGGTACTGACTGATGAAAGAGGCAGAAGATGAAGGATGAGGGTCAGAAATCAGCGATGGGAAAGCAGTGAATAGTATTTCCCCCTTGGACAGGCACAGGAGGCGGCAGACCAGCTACTGGCAGGCCGGTCACAGGACCTTCCTTCAGGCAGCAGCTTTCCAGTATGCATCCGGCGGCCACTGAGCAGCTTCCTCTAGAGGGAGCTGATCGCTGCCGGGAGCAGCCAGCTCCTCTATGGTCACAGAGACTTGCGGGTCCCTGGGCCAAGCAGGGACAAGCCGGGGCTGCATCCAGATACCAGGAATTCACTGACGCCGGTTCCTGAAATCTTGCCCCCGGAGCACCACTAGCTGCTTGGGATCTTCAGACTGCCGAGTCACCCCAAGTCTGGACCAGAGTCTGGCAGGTATGCTGGCAGTGCCCCCCACCCCCATCTTCCTAACCCTGGCAGTGTGGCCCAGGGTGGGGCAGAGAGCCCCTTCCGGAGCTGGGTGAAGAGATCAGTTTCCCTAGACAGGTCCTTCATGCCACACTGCCGCGCCCCCCCTCTCCCCCGCCCAGCAACAGAGCCACCTCTGGTTAGACACACACCAGATGATTTCCCTCCTTTCCCGGGCCCTGGATGGTTCTGGACACCCGGGAACTGAGACTTTTAAAAATCTGGAAAAATGGGAGGGGAGGGGAGCACCAAGGTCAAGGACAGGGACTGAAGTTTCTCAGCTGACCCTCCTGAGGTCCGGCCTGGTGGCGGTGTGTAGGGGGAACATTCATGCTGGGCCTAGCAAGTGGATGAATGGGAAGTTAGGCCACTTTAGATGGAGGGCCTTGGCCAGCACAGGCTGTGGGGGATCCTTGCTCTGAGGTTCTACCTGGCTTCCTTAGCAGTGAGCTCCAAGGGTGGTGTTCTGGGCAGATCTGGAGATCTCAGAATGGAGTCAACACCAACTGGCCCTGCTGGCCTTGGGTTACCAGAGTTTAGACACCAGGGGATCAGGAAGGGCATCTTATTCCGGAAGGACCTGCTGAGTGGAGGTATACCAAGCCAAGGACTGTTTTAATGAGACCCAGCTCCCACAGGTAAGGGAGAAGAGGGTCTACTTGCTCTGTCTTGGTCTCTTTAGTGGAGCGGTGAGGAGGAGGGGACCCACAAGCAGGCCAGTCCTCCTCCACCCTTCTGAGACAGCTCCCGGGTAACTTTCAAAAATAGTCCCCAGTCTGAATTGAATAAAGGTGGGCATAAGTGCCCAGGATAGGCAGGTTGGGGGCTATTGTGATTGATCCAGGCTGGGTCTGGACCCTCTTCAAGGACAGAAGGAGGCAGCTTGGGCTGAAATGAGGCTCTTACAGGGGTTATAAACTGAAAGTGAAAGAACTCAACAGGAAATACTCCTGGACACCCCAGCAGAGGTTAATACTGCTCAGAAAAGAAAATGAACCTGGGCAGGGTGCCATAGCGAAACCCTGTAATCCCAGCATCCCAGAGACCAAGGCAGCAGGACCAGGAGTTCAAGGTCAGCCTGGGGCTACATAGGAAGACCCTGTCTCAAAAATAAACCAAAAAACCCCAACAAAATCTAACAACCAAGAGAAAGCAGGCTGGGGACAGGAGTACAGGAGTGAGGTGTGTGGGGTGAGGCAGGTTGAGGGGGCTCATGAGGGACCCCCCAGCTCACTTCCAGACAGGCAGTAATGGAGAGAGAGCTGCCCTAGGGACAGGCTACCCCGTAAGGTCTACAAAACTGGAAAGCAGGTCCTCAGGCTGTGTCTCAGTTGGTAAAGTCCTTGCCTAAAATGCACAAACCCCTGGGTTTGATCCCTGGCACTACATAAATAGGACACGGTGTTGTACCCCCTTAATCCCAGCACTCAGGAGGTGGTGGCAGGAGGATCATCATCTGCTACATACAGTTTGGAGCCAGTGTGGGCTACATGAGACACTACCTCACAAGAACAAAACCAAAAACTCCTGGGCCAGAGAGATGGCTCAGTGGATAGAGGTGTTTGCCATCAAGACTAACAACTAGAGTTCCATCCCCAGAACCCACACAGTAGAAATAGAGAACCCACTTCCAAAACCCCCATACACATACCATGGCGCGCGCGCGCACACACACACACACACACACACACACAGACAATATTTCCCTGACTGTGCCCACCTTACTGCACTTAACATAAACCATGCATTCAGTTCAGAGAGAGAGAGAA